GTGCATTTTTTGACTCCTCTGGAATCTGGCTGCTGTGACCTGCTTTGGCCGAGGGAATGTGGTGGAGATTTCACTATGTGCATTCTGGACCTCGGCCTCAAGAGACCCCAGGCTTCCACTTTGCCCTCCTGGAACGCTGGCCATGTGCCATGTGTTAGGAGGAAGCTGACCGAGGGTGGGGAGGATTCCAAGCTGCACGGCTCTGGCAGAGCGCCCGGCAGCCGAGGGACAGCAGCCCCGGGTGTCCAGCGTGATGCCACGTGGGCCCTTCCCAGCCAGCTAACCTTGGCCCAGGGCCGCAGCCTGTGTGAGGCCCCAGGAAGCCGCTGGCACTGCCCTGATCCCCGCTATGAGAGAAGAATAGGCAGGTGGTGCTTAAGCCACCAAGAAGGTCAGGATTCCACACGGGCTGTGGTCTGCCCACATGAACGGGAGGGAGGGAGGGAGGGTGAGGGGCAGACACAATGGCCGGCCAGATAGGCTTCCCTTGATAAGGAGAGGAGAACAGACAGAGGGGATGAGGAAGCCGCAGACGCAGGCCGTGCACAAAGACTGCAGATCTCAGGGCTGGTCGACAGCAGAGCTGGGAGCTGGGAGGCGGGCAGAGAGAGTGAAGAGGCTGGAGTGTAGAGGGGTGCAGTTGGGAGAAAGGACCCAGTGGGGTAAGTGGGGAGGGGACAGGACCCCTGAAGGAGAGGAAGTCAAAGTTGGGGAACTGCCGGTGTGGATTTTGAAGGCATGGCTGGGAGACTGACAGGCAGCAGGTGTCCCCTCCTGCAGGAAAGGGGTGCCAATGACTTCAGCGTGGTGAGGTCTGGTCACAAAGCAGAGGTGGTTTTCATGGAAAAGGAAAGCAGTCTGGGAGTGCCGGTGAGGAAGGACAAGGGCACCGACCTCGTCCTGGTGCATCGGAGAGAAAAGCAGCACCTGCCGGGAGCAGGAACGGGCTGGGAGGGCATCCCAGACAGGCAGGGTGGGGAGGAGACACCAGCACCATCCCGCCTGGGGACACAGCTCCCACCGCTGCTGAGAAGGCGTGCAGGTGGGGTGGGAGTGGCACCAGCCTGGTGCTCCTGCTTCAGCCTGAGTCCTAGTCTCTCTCCTGCAGCCTGGATTCCTGCGGCCCTGGCCTTCTATCACTGCAATCCCAGCAAGCACCCAGGAACAGCTCTGCGCCCGCCTCGGCTCTCCAGGAGGGAAACTCACGCCGGCCCCAGCCTTGGTTCCTCGGTGGCTTTGGTCCCAGCTGCCTGAGTGCACAGCCCGCTGCCCTTGGCAGGAGTTGGGGACCACACTGATGACTGCCTGCAGGGGGTGGCTACAGGTCTCTGATGTCAGGAGCCGGCGTGTGAGGGGGGTGCTGAGGGCCATGGCGAGATGGTAGCTGCCACCTTCAGGTCAGAGATTGGGAGGGGAGGTCACGGCCAGCACCTCGTAGGCCCTTTGGGGACACTGGCTGGGGTCATGGAGTGCAGCCACAGTGGCCTGATGTGAGGAGACCCCCCCATGAGGCTGAGGCCCCACAGGTCCAGCCTGGAAGACACCCTGGTTTTCCCCACAGGCTCCCCACTGACGTGTGAATGTCCTCATCAGTCACCCCCCTTAGCTAACACGGGGCCATGCAGACGCCCCGGGGCCACTCGCCATTTGGAGCTTGACCCACTCAGGGCCAGGAGGCTGGCTGGATTTCAGCGGCTCCCAAGAAGCACCTGTTAGATGGGGAGGGGGGTGGGGAACCCGCTGAGCCTCTGCCTCTGTGGGAGAGAGGAAGGGATCCCCGAGGGAGGGAGCAGGGGTGAGGAGGGAAGGGTCACTCTCCCTGGGTCAGGGCCCCGGCCCACCTCCACTATTCCAGTCTTGAGTGCCGCACCACAGATGACCCCAAAACAGCATGCTCAGCAACCACCCTACTGTACGCAGGTGGTCTTGGAACAGGGCACGCTGCGACCTCGGCTGGAAGCTGCTCAGGAGTCTGGAATCCGATGCTGGTTCCTCCACCGGGCCTCTCCTTGAGGCCAGGGTGGGCTCCGTCCCAGCACCGCAGCTGGGTTCCAAGAGTGACTGTCCCAGGACAGCGAGGTGCACGTGGCGTCTTCCAAGTCAGCCTCAGAAGTCACGTCTCGCCGAACTCCCCATTCTTCCTGGCTGAGGCTGTCACAGAGTCTCACGTAGAAGGCATTTCAAGGTACGAGGATGGGAGATACTGTCACGGCCATCTCTGAAAAACGCAACCTGCCTCCAACCCCGGGAGTCACCATCCCCTGCTGCAGCCCAGGGTCCACCCCCCACACTCGGAGCAAGGGAACCCCAAGGCCCTCAGGAACCCTGAGGCCCCTACCACAAATCAAGGCCAGATTCGAGAGGCAGGGAGGGGGCCGTCACAGGCCAAGGGCACAGACCCTGAGAGACAGACACACAAACGGGAGCTGTCCTGTGGCCAAGATCGTGGGAGGAACACAGGCCCCGGAGACCCTGAAGTGGGCTCCCTGGCGGGAGCGGGGGTCTCTTCCTTTCCAGCAGAGCAGAGGCAAGTGCAGGTGGCCCCTCCTGCCTCTGCTCAGCGAGGATCCCGCCTGCTGCCCGGGGGCAGGAACCCTGGCAGATGGGCACCAGTGCTCACTATGAGTTGGACACCATCAGTGGCTTTAAAAGTAGAATCTCCTGGCCAGGCGCGGTGGCTCACACCTGTAATGCCAGCACTTTGGGAAGCTGAGGCGGGGGGATCACCTGAGGTGGGGAGTTTGAGACCAGCTTGACCAACATGGAGAAACCACATCTCTACTAAAAATACAAAAATTAGCCAGGCATGGTAGCGGGCACGTGTAATCCTAGCTACTCGGCAGGCTGAGGCAGGAGCATCGTCTCAGTCCAGGAGTTCGAGACCAGCCTGGGCAATACAGGGAGATACCAGTCTCAGACACACACACACACACACACACAAAGAAAGGAACGATTCTCAGGCCCCTCCTTCCATCCTGAACTCCCTGCCCGTTTGGGGACTGGGGGAGGCCCAGAGCCCCCCAGAATCCCTTCCCAAGCCCAGGCCCAGAGGCTGGGGAGATTCAGGAGGGCAGCTCCCCTGGCATGACCCCCAGCAGGAGGCGGCGGCGACTGCGGCCACTGGGGGCGCTCACGGGCTTTCCCGCCCTGGCCCAGCGCTCCCGCCGGGGAGGGGACGCGGAGGGAGGACGAGGGGGGGGCGCGGGGCGGGGCCACCATCCACACCATTTCCAGGGCTGCGGGGCCGGTCCCAGCCTCTCCAGCGCCAAGGTGCGCGCAGAGGAGTCGGGGCGGGAGAGCCGGGTTCCACTGGGTGCTGCCGGGGCTTAAGTGCTCGCGGGGCCACCCCCGAGACGCCCGCCCAGCCCCCGCGGCTTTCCCCGGTCGGCGAGGGGCGTGGACAGCGTCTCCGCGGAGAGGGCGCCAACCCCGCTCCGGCCTCACAGCCCCCCGGAGGCGCGCGCCCCTGTGCCGGTGGCGAGGTGTGGGGGGCGCCGCGGGGGGACCGCGGAGGGCCAGGGTCAGCGCCGAGAAGACGGGACCTCCCCGCGTGGGCCGCAGGACTTTGCTTGGGGCCAGATTAGACGTGGGGTCCGAGGGGAGGGGAGGCTTCCGGACCGAAACCCCGGGTCCAGGTGCCCCGGCAGGGACGAACCTGCCAATCAGCCGACTCCCTGGCTCAGCAAAGCTCCCCAAAAGGTTCCCCGACCCCTTCCCGGCCAGAAGCTCCCGGTTCCCGCTGGTCCAGCTGTCCCTCCCCGCTTCCCTCGACCCTGCGCCCCTTCGCACCCTGGGAATGCCACGCCCTCCCTTGAGGCTTTGCCCCTGAGGACCTCCCCATCCCGCCGAAGCCTTTGGGACTACCCAGTGGAAAGGGCTTTTCTCCCCCCAGGCCACCCACCCGATTCGGTTCTCCTACAACGGCGTGACTGCGGAGTCTGCCATCGGCCTCCTGCCCGGATTAAAAGCCCGGGAGGGTCCCCACACCCGGGCCCAGGCCCGGCTCTCCAGGGGGCTCAGGAAGCCTCAGGTGCACGGACGCGCGAGGCCGCCGGGGACCCCGAGTGCCGAAAGGACCAGCGTACCCCGCAGGGGCATTGGAAATAAAAACAGCAAACAGGAAGATAGCCACAGCCCTGTTTTACGGAACCTGCCCCTTTGCCGTTACACACATTAACAGTGACCCCTCATTTTCCGTGAACCCCACTTTGCTGCTGCCGAGTTCGCCAGAGGGACACCCGGAAGCAGGTGGCGACAAGGGCCCCATGACATCATCCCAGCAGGCTTGCGTCAGCGCCCCGGGGCCCGGTGACGTCACCAGCTCGCTCGCGTCACGCGCACGTCCTGCTCCTCGTGGTCCTGCCCGGCCCGCGCCATCACCGGCCCTGCCCCGCGGGGTGACCCGTGCGCCCCTTCACCGTCCGCTGCCGCCGCCCTCCGGCCTGCCGACCCGGCTCTGTGGTTCCCAAGGCTTTCTCTAGCCCTCCGTGCCCCCGGCCGCACACCTGAGGGTGGGACCCCCGGGGGCAGAGCCGGTGTCGGGTCAAACTCGGAGACCGAGCAGAGCCCAAACCCGGACCAGCGGGAGGGCGGGCGGAGGAAGCGGGGAGGCTGGAGACCGAGGCTCGCCCACCCCTCGGCGCCGCCGGACTCTGCGCCACTGGGGATATTTCCTTCCCGGCTTCCCGCGCCGCCAGCCCCAGCTCCGTCCCGCCCCGGCTCCCGGCCCCCTGGGCGGGACAGCGAGCCCCGAGACTCCGCCCAGCCCCGGGGGTCCCGGTCCCCGTTCGCCCCCAGCGGCCCCTCCCGGCGCGCTGCTCGGCCCTGGCTGCAGCGGGGGGCGCGGGCTCACCCGGCCGTGGCCCCCGCGGTGTCGGAGCGGGGCGCGGGCGGGGCGGCCCCGCAAGCCTTTGTCGCCCGCGGAGGCCGCGCCGGGGGCCGAGGCGTGACTGACAGCGGGCGGGGGAGGAGCGCGGCCGCCGATTGGCCGGCGCGAGTGTGGGAAAGAATGCGGAGCCGGGTTCACACACCCCGCGGCGGCGAGGCCTTAAATAGGGGAGCGGCCTGAAGCGCGCGCGGGCCTGGGGACGGGGCCCGCCCGAGGGTCTCGGATCGCCGCGCGCTCGCCGCTCGCCCGCGGTCCCCGGCGGCGCGCTCCAGCCGGCACGGGGAGGTGCGGGGCGCACCATGGCCGCAGACACGCCGGGGAAGCCGAGCGCCTCGCCGATGGCAGGAGCGCCGGCCAGCGCCAGCCGGACCCCAGACAAGCCCCGGAGCGCGGCCGAGCACCGCAAGGTGGGGTCCCGGCCGGGCGTGAGGGGGGCGACCGGGGGGCGGGAGGGACGGAGGAACGCGGGACTCAGCCGGTGCCCGACCCGCAGTCCTCCAAGCCGGTCATGGAGAAGCGGCGCCGGGCGCGCATTAACGAGAGTCTCGCTCAGCTCAAAACCCTCATCCTGGACGCCCTCAGAAAAGAGGTAAGTCGGGGGCGAAGACCCGAGACCAGGACTCTGGGGCGCAGCTGAGCCTGGACCTCCCGCCCGTCCCCGCCCCCAGAGCTCCCGCCACTCGAAGCTGGAGAAGGCGGACATCCTGGAGATGACCGTGAGACACCTGCGGAGCCTGCGTCGCGTGCAGGTGACGGGTGAGGCGCGGGCGGCCGCGGCTTGGAGGCGACGGGAGGGCGCGGGATCCCCGGGGCCCGGCACCGACCGCTCCTCCCGTGTCGCTCCCGTAGCCGCGCTCAGCGCCGACCCCGCCGTCCTGGGCAAGTACCGCGCCGGCTTCCACGAGTGTCTGGCGGAGGTGAACCGCTTCCTGGCCGACTGCGAGGGCGTCCCGGCCGACGTGCGCTCCCGCCTGCTGGGCCACCTGGCAGCCTGCCTGCGCCAGCTGGGGCCCTCCCGCCGCCCGGCCTCGCTGCCCCCGGCTGCCCCCGCAGAGGCCCCTGCGCCCGAGGTCTACGCGGGCCGCCCGCTGCTGCCGTCGCTCGGCGGCCCCTTCCCCCTGCTCGCGCCGCCGCTGCTGCCAGGCCTGACCGGGGCGCTGCCCGCCGCCCCCAGGGCAGGGCCGCAGGGCCAGGGCGGACCCTGGAGGCCGTGGCTGCGCTGAGGCTGCGGCCCTGGGACTGCATCGGAGGCGGCGCCCCGTTCTAGGGCCGCGGCCTTTGCCGAGACTGTAGCAGAGAATACGTATTTATTATTCCAGAGGCCGCGTCACTAGTTTTCCTTCTCCGTCTTGGTGAAGAGTCGACTTTGGCAGCGACCCGCAGCCACGCCGCGCCGGGGTCCCGCCCTCCTCCCAGGGCCGCTGGCCGCAGGTGGCTGGGGGTGTCGGGCGGACCCGGGGGGCGGCTGGGGGCGGGACCGAGGGCAACCCCTCGGCTCCGCGCCCTCCCCTTCCCTCCGCAGCCTCCCTCCCCTCCGCACCCCTGCAGCCCCGCCCGCGCACGCGCCCTCTGCCCTCGCGTGGGGTTTGCCTCGCTCTGCCGTGGCGGTTGTGAGGGTTCCCCCCGGAGGCCCGGATGGGAAGCTGAATGTCCCTGAGTGCCCGGAACCTTCCCAGTGCTGGAAGGCGGTCGCGCAGCATCGCCAGGCAAGTTACTTTCTAGAGGCCCCTTTCCCGCCTCCCGGTCCCGGACCGCGGAAGGCGGAGGCTGCGGTCCGGGGCCGCGCTGGGGTGAGGGCGGCCGCCCTTGGCCCTGAAGACCCGCGCTGGGTTCCCCTGTTAGGTGCACAGCTGCCCGTGCCCACCGCGGACCCCTCCCCCGGGTGGCTGTGCGGGGAGGGCCCGACCGGAGCGCGCGCGGGTCCGAGCTGGGCTGCGGACACTGAGTGCGGGGCCGAGGACATCGCTCACGAGGGCGTGGGCCCAGCCCCGGTAAGGGAGGTTCCGCCTCCCCAGTGGATGAGGACTGGGGGCTCCTCCCTCATAGCCCTGAGCACGTGCCGCTGTCGACCACCGAGTTAACCAGGCAGCGCCGGACGTACCCTGAACCACCAAGGCGGTCGCCATCCCGGGTCCTGTGTTCGGGGAGGGGGGCTCGGCGCAGTTCCAGGCACTCAGCCGAGGCAGAGGGTCCCTCTGAGCCACGCCGAGGGCCATTTCCCAACTGGGGCTGAGTTCACCGGGGCCCACGGGAGGCGAGTGAGCCGTCCCACCAGCGCTGGCCCTCCAAGGCTCCAGTCTGTGCCTCCATCAGGAGCCCCCTGGGCCCTCCAGGACACAGCCGTGCGCAGCTTGCAGGAGCCTCGCAGTCCGGCCACCCCTGGCCCCTGGCTGCCCTGCCCCCTCCCTGAGCTCTGAGGGCCAGTGACCCTGGGCGGAGGCAGCGTTGGGCTGGGGGCCGCACCCTTGGTCCCACCAGCAGTCCTACCCCGGGGGTCCTAGTCCCAGAGGAGCCTCAAAGTAGCCCTTCTCCTCGGGAGCTTCAGACCCTGTGAGGGAGGCCTCCTCAGCAAGGGGAAGGGACAGTCTTCTTGGGGGCAGGTGGAAGCTCAGCGTGGCCAGGGGAGGGGAGCTGCTCAGAGAAGGCATCAGTGCACAAGGGGAGGGAGGGCCTGGGGCAGCGAAGCTGGGAGTGTGGGGAGGAGCTCAGGGGCAGTTGGGGCACCCTGCAAAGTCACCCAGGCTGTGGGTCCTAAGAGGGCAGGACATCTCTCCACCAGGCCCTGGCCTCGAATGCCCTCTCCACTGTGGCTAAAGGGCCCTTCGTAGCTGCCCAGGGACCACTCCGGCTCTGGGGGAATCAGTGGGGAGGCCCTTCGCACTCTGGGTCCCTCTGTGCTCCGCACCACCCGGCCCCGGCTTCTCCCCCGACTTTCCTCCTAACCTGTCCCATCTGCCGCAGGCTTGGTGGTGTATCATCCGGGCCCAGCTGGATGGGGCTCCAGAGGGCGAGGGCCGTATGTCCGGAAGCTCTGTCCTCAGCACCCAAAACACGGAAATGGACCCACAGGGCCCTAATCCGTCCATTTGAATGACAGAGCTGGGAAGTTTGGGTTAGACTAAGGAGGTCTCAGGAAACACAGCCTGAGGGGCCGGACTGGACGGGCAACATAGGGGCTGTCCTGGGCTACCCCTCAGGCTGCCCCCTTCTCAGAGCCCCCCGCCATGGCCTCCGGGAGCCAGCCTCTGCCTACACCCAGCCAGGACGCCCGCCACAACCTGCGTCCTGTGGCCCCAGACGGGGAGTGCCCCCTCACGCAGAAGTCCTTTTTGCCTTCCCCACCATCCAGACGTTTCCTGCCCCTCCCCGCCTCAGGTAGTGGCCGCTGCGCAGCTGGGATCTGGCCCAGTTCCCCGCCCCTGACCCTCCCCAACGATTTTTATCTTGGCTTTTGGTTTTTTGCTGAATAATAGATGAAAGTCATCTTCTCGGTGGAGCGGGTGTGGCTGGTGGCCCCTGGTCACTTCCAGTTCATCTCCCACTGCCTCCTTGATGAAGACCGAGGGTCAATAAATGTTTGCTGAATTCCTTTGCCTCTGTGGTGTCTGGGCTTGTCTGTTGTGGGGGGATCTGGGCAACACAACTGCAGATAACAGGCTTTTGAAATCTGGAGAACCTCAGTCCCTGTGTTGACAGAAGTCTAGGCCAGGCCCGTGAACTCCAGGCGCTGGGAAGTTAGGGATGGGGGTGGGACTGGGGCTGCCTGGAGCCCGGGCTTGTGAGAGGTGAGGCTGAACTCACCCTCCTGGGTCCCTGTGTTCACCTGGGTCCCAGCCTCCTCTGGCTCCCCTGGCTCCAGGACTGTCTCCTCACCATGTCTGGCTGCTGCCCCACTGTCCCCTGGAACCCCGGGGCTGTACCCACCTCGGACGCAGCCAGGGCAAGGGGCCTGGGGTGGCAGCCTCCCTGATGTCCCACCGGCCCCTCCTGGCATTCACACCTCAGTGTCCTGAGGGTCCAGTGGTCTGCAGGGTCAGTGGGGTCCTGCCAAGGTGATGGGCTGAGAGTGAGACCCTGTCTCAGAGAGAGAATCAGTTGACCGTAAATGTGAAGACCTATTTCTGAACCCTCAGTTCTATTCCACCGATCAATACATCTATCCTTGTTCTATTATCAATCACACTGTCTTCTTGATGACGGTAGCTTTGCAGTAAGGTTTTTTTGTTAGGTTGGGTTTTGTTTTGTTTTGTTTAGACAGAGTCTCTGTCACCCAGGCTGGAGTACAGTGGCGCGATCTCGGCTCACTGCAACCTCTGCCTCCTGGGTTCAAGCCATTCTTGTGCCTCAGCTTCCCTAATAGCTGGGATTACAGGCACCCACCATCACGCCTGGCTAATTTTGTATTTTTAGTAGAGATGGGGTTTCACCTTGTTGACTAGGCTGGTCTCGAACTCCTGACCTCAAGTGATCTGCCTGTCTTGGCCTCCCAAAGTGCTGGGATTACAAGCTTGAGCCACCGCACCCGGCCCACTCTCAGGCGTTTCTTTATGGCAGTGTGAGAACGGACTCACAGTCAGCCTATAAGCTCAGCATAGAGCGTGGAGAGAGGAAACTGGTGGGCAGAGGAAGGCGGTGGCATCTGAGCCATTGGGCTCGCTCTGACCTGGACAGGGCAACGGGTATGGGGGACCCTGGGGGTAGGGACAGGCGGAGCTGGGGCAGCTCTCCTCTTCTGGGACTGACTCCAGGTACATGTATACCAGTTGAACTTGTCCCACAGCTCACCATTCTTCTATTTTTCTGTTGCTTTTTTTTTTTTGAGATGGAGTCTCACTCTGTTGCCCAGGCTGGAGTGCAGTGGTGTGATTGTTAAAGATGATTCTTTCCTCCATTGAATTGTCTTGGCACCCGTGTTGAAAAATCAGTTGACTGTAGGCCGAGCACAGTGGCTCACGCCTGGAATCCCAACACTTTGGGAGGCTGAGGCAGGCGGATCACCTGAGGTCAGGAATTCAAGACCAGCCTGGCCACCATGGTGAGACCCCGTCTCTACTAAAAATACAAAAATTAGCTGGGCGAGGTGGGACAGAAAATACCTGGGGGACAGAAAAGAGGCTTAATTGGCTTGTGCTTCTACAGACTGCACAGGTAGCATGGTGCTGGCACCTGCTCAGCTTTTTTTTTTTTTTTTTGAGACGGTCTTGCTCTGTTACACAGGCTGGAGTGCAGTGGCATGATTTCAGCTCACCGCAACCTCTGCCTCCTGGGTTCAAGCGATTCTCTTGCCTCAGCCTCCCAAGTAGCTGGGATTACAGACATGCACCACCACACCAGGCTAATTTTTGCATTTTTAGTCGAGATGGGGTTTCACCATGTTGTTTAGGCTGATCTTGAACTCCTGACCTCAAGCAATCCACTCACCTCGGCCTCCCAAAGTGTTGGGATTACAGGCATGAGCTGCCATGTCCAGCCCTGCTCAGCCTTGGGGGAGGCCCCAGGAGACTTCCAATCCTGGCAGAAGGAGAAGTGGGAGCAGGCAGGTCACATGGCCAGAGCAGGAGCGAGAGGGGACGGGGGGTGGGTGCCACCCACTTTTAAACACCAGATCTCCTGTGAGCTCATGTACTAACCCAAGGATTGTACCACAGGGGGTGGTGCTAAACCATTCACGAGAAACCCGCCCCATAGTCCATACCTCCCCCCAGGCCCCACCTCCAACACTGGGGATTACAGTTCAGCATGAGATTTGGGTGGGGACACAGATCCAGACCGTATCACTGACCGTGGCTTGTGCCAAACACACCAGATGGCAGGGCTGGCTGCGCTCCAGCATGGTTCCCTCTAGCTGCCAATGCCCCCAACCACGGCCTCTTAAGCCCCAGGCCCAGTGGCACCCTTGGTCTTGTCCCTCCCAGCCTGGGTCAGGGATGCTCTGCTGGCTGTGGCCAAACTTCCTCCTTCACATGCACGGGGAGGCAGCGCGAGCTGTCGGCAGAGACGCCTGGGGGCCAGGACATCATGTTGTGTGCCCATGCGCCTTCTGTTTCTCCAGTTTGGCTTTAGGAAAAGAGGAAGCTCCATCAGCATGTCCCCAGGAAGCTGGTTTGTTGGGGAAGGGGTGACAGCAGCACTCCAGGAAGCGGCCAATGAATCTACCATGCGGGATTTCGGCTGGATTTTTCCTGACTAAGCCAGGGGCTTGCTGATACCAAGCAGGCTGCAGGCAGAAGGCTTTCACTGCTTCACAAAATCCTTGGGGCAAATGCCTTCTCCATGTGGGGGCAGCGATGAAAGCACGAAGGGTCGCAGCTGATGTTACAGTGAGAGTGTCCCCCTTCCTGGCACTCAGGCAAGGACGCTTCCCAGATGATAGATAGACAAAGGGGACCCTCCCCAGATGGACACAGGGACCCTCCCCAGATGATGGACACAGGACCCTTCCCAGATGATGGACACAGGACCCTCCCCAGATGATGGACACGGGGACCCTCCCAGATGGTGGACACAGAGACCCTCCCCAGATGGTGGACACGGGGACCCTCCCAGATGGTGGACACGGGGACCCTCCCCAGATGGTGGACACGGGGACCCTCCCAGATGATGGACACAGGGAACCTCCCCAGATGATGGACACAGGACCCTCCCCAGATGATGGACACACGACCCTTTGCACATGGACAGGAGGATCCCAGCAATGTTACAGATGATAGAATTCATAGACCAGGATATGAAAGCGCCTGCTACAACTTACTCCAGATAATCAAGAAGCTATTCCAGGTGTGGTTGCGAGCCTGTAGTCCCAGCTACTCAAGATGCCAAGGCCAGCCTGGGACACAAAGTGAGATCTCATCTCTAAACAAAAACAGAAACCAACTAGAAAAGTGGAAGCTAGAGGAAATATCGAATGTGTTAGGGACTTTGAAGGTACGAAAATCCCAACGGGGAACTTCTAGAGATGAAAATTGTGACGTGTGATTTGAGAAGTTCACTGGGTGGAAGTCCCAACAGGTTAGACACTGGAAAGGAAAACAGTAGTCAGCTTGAAACTGTAACAATAAAAACTATTTAAAATAAAACATTTTACAAAACAGAGAAATAGAACGGTGAGCTGTGAGACAACACTGAGTGGCCTCACATACGTGTAATTGGAGTTGGTCCTAGAAGAGGGGAAGAAGGTAAAATAGCTGAAGAAATAATGGCTGGAGTTATTCCGAGCTTGATGAGAACCATAAACCCAGCAGTCCAAGTAGCCTCTCAGCACAAGAACCTGGATGGAGACTCCCAGAGCGTCATAATCACGTCAATAAGATGCCGTGATAAAGCAACAGTGCCCACTCCTGCCTCTCACTTTCGACATTCTAGGAAGTTCTTGCCAAAGCAATTAGGAAAGAAAATGAAATAAAAGAGGCCGGGTGCAGTGGCTCACGCCTGTAATCCCAGCACTTTGGGAGGCTGAGGCAGGCGGATCACCTGAGGTCAGGAGTTTGAGACCAGCCTGGCCAACATGGAGAAGCCCAGCTCACTAATAAATATAAAATAGCCAAGGTGATGGATGCGTATGCTGTAACCCAGCTACTCAGGAGGCTGAGGCCAGGAGAATCACTTGACCCAGAGCTGGAAGGCCCTGTTAATGAGCTGAGGTCGTCAGCCATTGCAACCCGCCAGCCTGGGCCAATAAGAAACGAAACTCCAATCTCAAAAAAAAAAAAAAA